TGTGACAATGTCATCTAGATTGCATCAAAAAGGGAAACTATTGGAAACTCTCTTTCTATTAACAACTTCGAATTTATGGACTCGGCTATGTTCGTGGTCATAACATCAAACCTTATTCTAGGAAAGTAAGCTCTACTTCATCGCTCGAAACCAACATCATGCTCAAGATACTTAGCAATTCTATCATCTTGATTCAGATTTGCCGGAAGTGCTTCTCGAACTCATCAACTCGATAAGCTTTTGCTGCCATGTAGTATGTCTGAAGGAGGCCAGCACGCTTAAACTTTTGTTTTATGTTCTCACCAAGGTGCCTCATACAGAATTTGTGATGTGCTTGAGGGTAAATAGTGGCAATCCCTTTCTTTAAAGAGTTGTGCCTATCGAATATTATGCACAACTCGTCACAGTCAGGTACTATCATACGTAATTGCTGAAAAAACCAAGTCCATGACTTGTCGTTCTCAGAGTCAACCACACACCATGCAACGGGATATATGTGATTCTCGTTGTCTTGTGCAGTGACCACCAAGAATGTACCTCCATACTTTCCTATCAAAAAACAACCATGAACGGCCAACACCTTTCTCATGTTTACAAAACCCCTTATAGTAGAACTGTAAGCAACAAAAAATATTTAAACCTTATATTATTGGCCCACTTCAAAGTCGTCTTGCTACCTTGGTTTGTCAACTCAAGCATATAACGGTACGCTTCTAATACTGCGTACTCGTGCTTCGGCGTGCCCCTCACAAAATCTTGTGCATGTTGTCTCCTTTTCCAGCATTTCTAGTAACTAACAGCACATCCTAATTCTGTGTGCACAAGTCTCTGAATGTCTTTAGTAGATGGACATTTCCCTTCAACGAACCGACTTTTGACAAATTGTTCAATAACATCAGTGGAGGCTTGTCGATTCTCACCTGAAATATGTCCCAAACCACAAGTGTGCTCATGGGTATATGTGCTAACAATAAATTTTTTGAACTCTGCCAACCTTTTACAATAAACTCGCCACTTGCGCTTTTGGTCACAACATGCAACCGTCACAACCGATGAATTAGACTTTTTGGTGATGAACTCAAAATTACCTCTCATGGCAACAAGTTTTAGCTTCCTTACCACTTCCTTTTTGTTGTCAAATAAATACTTTATGCGCAACTTCAATCCATCCATAAAAACATGAGTTGATTCACTACTACCTGCAATTGCCCCCTCTAAACCTGCATAAAAGACCATAGTGTTCTCTTCCTCACAAACTAAACCTTCTGCATAATCTGTATTTAAAAGGAATCTCTACATATGCGAGAGTACGGTGTTCCTCCTCAACATTTTCATTCTGCCGCACATGACCAACCTCTTATATAGTGTCCTCCTCACCACCCAAATCATCGCCTACTCTTGATTTTTCAACAAAGAAATCAATGCCCTCGTAGTGCAAATTAAAACCAACATTCTCTCTGCCAACTTCCTCGTTATCCCCTTCCTTTGAACCAACTTCCAACAGTTTATCTACAAAAGAAACCCTTAAAATCGGCCTCGAACCATTATTGCCCACATTAATCATATATAACTTTACACCTTCATCCGACTTTAATATAGCAGGAGGTACCTTATAATGTTCAAGAACTCTACTTAAAACATACTTCACAACTATATCACTATGTGAGCAACTCAAATCACATCTTTTAATTATTTCATCAATCAACTCATCAAAACTAACACATGTGCTCACAACAATTGATATAACTTCTTTGCTTTTCCCAATCCACTTCCAACAACTTTCTTCCTCCACCCACTCACCAAAATATTTAACACCTAAAATAACTTGTCTCATGTCTAATAATAGCCAAATACCTATACTGCAAGAAAAAAAAAAATTATTAACTGATATATTAAGGGTTGAAAGATTTTAAAAAACATCTACAGAGTCACTAGAGCGATCTGGTGTATTGCTTAAGCGATCTAGTACATCGCTTACTGGATCGCTTAATGATCTGATATAAATAATCCTAATCACTTAAGTGATCTTTTGCCATTTACCTAGTCGCTTAAGCGATCTGCTGCCATACACTAGATTTATAGCAGATCGCTTAAGTGATCTTCTGCCATATTCCTGATCGCTTAAGCGATCTATGATCTGCTGCATTATACCAGATATACCAGATCGCTTAAGCGATCCATCATATCTAGAACACATTTTCAGTCATCTCCACCTACAATCGGTGCTACTACCCCCAACTACCCACAATGCAAGAAAATATTCAACAAATTTCACTCCTTTTAACTTGCATTACATCAAACATAACCCAACAACCTAAACAGCTAAATAAAAATCATAACCCAAACCCAAACCCAATCCATCATTAAATCTTTGTAAATCAAAATATAAAATGGAAAGGGGAGATGCACATACTTGAACAAATTGTCAAGAGGAGGAGGATCTGTGGTGGAGAAGATGTTAAAGGCGGAGGAAAACGATAGTGTTAATGACGGAAAGAAGAAGATGTACAGGAAGGAGGAAGAAGAAGATGTACAGGAAGAAGAAGATGCAAAAGAAGAAGAAGATGTAGACAAAGCTTAGAAGAAATAACAACCAAGGGAGGAATGCATTAATGGCGAGAGGAAGAAGAAGAAGGTGTTTGGGTTTGTTTGCAAGAATTTCGACTCTTTGGGGATATATTGTAATTTTTAAAAGATTACACAATACTTCATTAATCCTATTTAACCACTAATCATGTTTAATTAACCTTAATCAATAATAAGACTATTTACTTAACACTTTCAAACTACATAACCTTTTAATTAAATTTGAACTTGATTTGACCTTTTAATAAAATGCCACCCAACATTACCCTCCTTCCCAACCATTGGATTGCCCTAAAATTGAAGTCAGAAACTCAGTGCACTGCCTAAAGGGTTTCCTTTGACCCATTGTGATGCAGAAACAATTTTTTATCTCTAAAAAAAAAAAAAAAAAAAAAAACTCTGGATAGTTTCTTATAGTCAGTGGGCTGCATTACCACTCATAAGAGGTTTCGGAATTGCTCTAATTTGCAAGGGAAAGCTTGGCCCTAGTGAACTAGAAACAAAAAAATTCAAGAAAACTTCATCACACTCCCAAGGCCCGAACAGAACCAATGAACCAAAAACTTAAGGCAGTGGAAAAGCTAATGTAATCAGATAACACCAGGGCTGCTGATTGAAAGGATACACGCTAAATCTGTTAACCTGGACGACAACAAAATGGGTCATCCACCAAAAGCCTTAAATTTGCCAGGCCAGGCTGAGAAATTTTGTTTCAGTAAAGATACTCATTGTCTGTTGAGGCAGCCAACTTCAAACTTCAACGTAAGCACTCTGACTGAAATCTGGAAAGACCTAATCTGCCGATAATGTCACAAAGTCTTGACTACATTCTGAACTTGTGCACCATCTCACTGCACTGAATCGCTCTTTAACTTATTCAAGACATCCCTCAGTTGTCGATGCTGCTCATATTATACACACCATTCATCTGTATCAACAATCCGAAGAGAATATTGCTATAATTGCTCTAATGACAAACCCCAAACCAAAGAGAAAATATACAAGTAGTTAGCATAAAACAGCAAATAAAATGACATCTATGTCAAAATACCAGGGTGGCATAAGAGAATATGATATAAGCAAACTTCACCTCGATATATCCCGAAGTAAAGAGCTCAGCCAAACCAGCCAAAAGATATCTCTATGGGGAGCTAGTATGCTTGAAGTAGAATAAGGTATTTTTAGATACTATGAGCCCAAAAGATAGCAGCAGCCAAACAAACACCATCAGCAGAAGATACGATCGCCAGAAAAGAATTTCTTAAAAGAGGAGATGCACATAAATCTAAATAGAAGTGCAAGAAAGATGACTTAGAGAATTTAATTCCTATAACAAGTCCAAACCAACTTTAAAACACACAAGCATATCACTATAAATTATCAAAAGGGTTCAATTTTGAAAAGCACATTCAAATAGTCCAATGTAGACATCCTCATATAAACAATCTCCACTATTTCCACAATTGACCATAAACCCCTCTGAACCAGATGCACATGGCAATGGAATCTATGACAGGACTGGTAGTATCTCTTTATATCGAGTAAAAGAAAATGACCTTTTACAAATTTGATTGGAGGCTGACTGCTTAATAACTTTAACATTGAAGATATAGGCTGGAACAACTACCGGCATCCGTGACTGATTGTATTCCTGCCATTTTCTGTTAATTTAGGTTTCCAAATGGATTTATCTAATGTTGAATAAAAATCGAAATTTAAACCCATCATAGGCAGCAAACCATCAACACCCAAAGACTTTAATTGTCTAGAACTGTTACTACTCTGGACACTAAAGTTTCGTCCAATTTAAGTTCAGTCTGATGACATCTCCAGGCATTAATCCACGAATATATTCAGCCTAAATAAGTTGCAAAAATAGATAAAGTATGATCAAGCATAATGCATATTATAAATATAATATCTTCAAGTTCCTCTAATTTTTTGTCTCCCACCTCCTTTCCTCCGTTGTATCTTGGAAGTCACTTCCAGCCTCATGTGGACACTAAAACCCATTATCAATGGAAAAGGATAGGATATTAATGATGAACTCTAAAGCGTGCCTACCAATAGCAAACTTATATGTGATACAATCTTCCACTCATCAAAGCAGTATTATAACTGCCCTTGTTAGCAACTTCCTAAGAACGTAATTTTCCATAAGTCACTAAATTATCATAGTACATTGACTCACTCCCTAAGCTTCTCTAGCCCAAGTACTTTATTTTACTCATTTCTCACTTATTAATTTCAACCTACCGCCGAAGTAACATATCAAGATAATTCCAAAGGAAAAGTAAGACCTGCTGGTTAAAAGCTCATAAACCATAAAAACACATAACATGGATTACATACACAATCTGAAAAAAGAATTTTTTTTTTTTTTTTCATAATAATGCAGTAAGCAATATCCCTGCTTGACTGTGTTGATAATTGCATCAATTTGGAACCATAGATACATCTCAGCAAATCACTGATCAATGGAATTTTAAGGAAAAAAAAAAAACAAAAAAAAAATTCTTAAGCTCAGCAGCATATCAGAACTGGGGTAAATCAATTACCATTCTCAATTATATTGCCATCACCAGAAACAGGTACTGCAGTGGATTTAAAACAATAATTGCAACAAAATATTCACAGGAAGCATCCTCGTGGAAAATATACACAAGTAATATATCATCTTGTTGTAAAGTACATACAACATATTGCTGGTGATTACACCAAACGGGGGCAGTGCTATATCAATGGGACTGCAAAACAGGAAGACACAGAGCACTGAAGAGATAACCGCTAATTTTAGCGTTCAATTGAAGCCTGCAACAGCAAGGGAGACTATCATGCCATTATGTACTAAATATCATCTATGTCCGTCAACCAAGCCCTCCAATTCCCTCCGCCCGAACCTCCTTCCCTCCATATTAGCATCCCTAGACCGTGCAGCAAAGTAAAATATCAGCCAAGCCACCATAAAGTAAACCTCCGCAATTGACTGTAAAATCATTGCAAAAGATTTGCCAAATAAGTGAGCCAAAGCCCACCTTGCAAACGATCCACAAAGTATAGCCTCCAGACATTTAATCTGTATAGCCTGATTCATCATTGTCAATAATAAATAACAACCTTCTTTAACTATCTCTCTTCCAGTCCTCCTCGAATCAACAATGGCAACCCAGGCATCAACGGCAAATATAAATGCCACAAAAGTATCTGCCAAAGACCATGTAAACAAGAACCCTGAAATCTCTTTCTCAAACCCTTGTATCCACGGTGACATAACAGAAAACGGCATCAATTTTAACCTCACAAAAAGCTTAAAAAATGAGTACTGATCCTCAATTTCCCCGAAAAACCACAAGCCAAGAAGCTGAGTCAATGCATCTCTAACTGCCCATCTCATTAAAATAAAACCAGTAAGCCTTTTTATCCCCAATCTTGACCCATCCCACACAACACCAACTAATGAACTAAATCTCCCAACCAAATCATTTACGACTGTAACAAACACAATCCCCAAAACCCAAGAATAAATTGCGGTAAACCCTAAAATTACCCAACCATAAGCAGCTGACAAGAAACTCACGAGGAAAAACAATGCTGTCACATCACGACGACCCAGCTCTAGTCCCTTTATAAGCATTTGAAAATCTAAAATTCTCTCCATTTCTTGACCATTTTGAGCCCCTTCTTGTTCACTATCATCATCATACCTTAATTCTTCTTTATCAAAAGATTTCTCTAAACTACCACTCATTTTAAATGTGACACCGTGACGAACAATTTCCGAAATTTTAATTCCATTATCAACGATTTCATAAGAAAACCCTAAATTGGGATCGAAATTAGAAAAAATTACCAAAGTGCCATTCACAGGCTTTTTGAGGAGAGGATTGAACATTGGGCGATCTAAGTCATCATCTCCGGAGAAGAAATCATCGTCCAAAGTGCCAACGCGCGTCAGATGTAAAAAGGGGCGGCGACGGTGGTGGTGGTGAGGATGGTGAAGATGGAGACGGCGCGTGGAGGAGTGGTGATCGGAGAAGTCGAGACGGGAGAGGAGAGACTTGAGAGAGGCGTCGCGGTCGATGAAGGAGGTGAGTAGGTACGACCCACTCTCGACGAGGGAGCGGAATGAGAATAAGAGGAGAGAGAGGAAGAGAAATGTGTGGAGATTGGCAGTGAAGGTAGCGGTGGTTTGTTTGATTAATTGGCTGGTGCTGCGGATGTGGCGCAGCCGTGGCTGATCGGTCATCGCGCGCGCGGTGGTGGTGGAGTAGACTTTTTTGTGTGTTTTCGTTTTCGTTTTCGTTTTCGTTTTTTGTTTTTTGTTTTTTGTTTTGGTTGTCAATGCTTTTGGGGAGTTTGTTTGATGGAGAGTGGCGGTGGAGGTGGTGTGAGCTTCAAAGGGTGTTGAAAGTAGGGATCTCCCATGACGCGCTTATCAAAGCGTTAAAGTACGCGCGACGTGTATTGTGTTGGATATAAATCAGGACTAGTAAGAGGAAACTTTCATATTTTGAATTGAGAAACTTTATATAGAAATTTTTGGTATTTTATTTAAAGCTTTTACAGAAAATAAAGAAAGATAGAGTTTGATTAGATATCCAGATAATGTCGGTCTGATTGGTGAGACTAACATCTCACTTCATTTTAATTAGTTATATTTAAATGCATTCTTATTATAAGAGTATACTATATAACTATCATTGGGTGATTGAGTTGTTGTTCGATAGAGACTCTTGGGTATATTATTCAAGGAGATTTGTATTTGAGTCCTTCCTCGGTTGCTAATAAGAGTAACTACTGAAGCTCTTATTCAATTGATAGTTCCAAAGTTTTAAAGAATTAGTTAAGATGCATATAAACTGACCCGAACAACTCTAATCATTAAAAAAAAAAAAAGTATACTATATATTTGTTATAAATATATAATAAATCATAAAGATTATGTAATCAATATCATAGATATTACATCAATAACGAATTAATTGAAAAAAAAATTACCATAAAATTTATGATAATAATTTTTTTTCAATTAATTTGGAAATTTAGTTTGTGTTGACGTAGAAGTCAACATGACTTGATAATTGTTTTGAGTTGTAAAGTAAATGGTGTGGGATTTGGAATATTGATTTAGATTTAGAATAAGAATACTTTGAATTCAACGGCATCCTCATCCATTAAATAAATTAAAAAGATATGTAACTACTTTTAATCTTTAATGTCACAACTGCAATTGTTGTAAACAATTGACTCAATTATGAGCTATATACTAATGTTTTATTTATACAATTTCTCATATATTATTACTACAAAAATATAAATTAAATAAATTAAAATTTGGAATTTTCATCTATTCATCACAATATCGCACGATCAAGTGTACAATTTTTTTTTTTTTTTTTTTTTGGTGATCAGGAGTGTTTGAACCAACTTGTTCATATTTCAATTAATCCTTCGGACCCTTAAGTTGAAAGTGTATAATTCTTGTCTTATTAATATTAGCCCGCCCAAATTTTTTTCTGGCTAGTCGGTGCCGGCAGGCGGCAACATTGCTCATTTGAAATCAGGAGTTTCAGGGAAAGTGCAGCCACACCTTTGAATGATAACATTGGATGCATAAGAACCAGCCCTCACACATTCTTCTATGGACTTCTCTTGAACCAACTGTGATAAAAATCCTCCAACAAACGCATCCCCTGCAAATATTCCATAAGAATTCTTATGTATGGATTTCGATTTTCAAGTAATTTGGTGTACAATAATCTTATTTAGCATTTGTAAATACGTGCATACCTGCTCCATTTGTATCAACCAGTTTTTCTTTTGGTAACAATACCACAGGGAACTTCCCCAATTTCCCATCCTCAGCCACAACAACAGGATCAGCACCCTGAGTAATAACAGTAATCCTTTTGTGTGTTCCTGATGCTTTGGGCCACTGGGAAATCTTCAGAGCTATCTCCTCAACATCATCTGTCTGCACAATGGAAACGATCCAAACTGGTTACCATTTATAAAACAAAAGCTTGGAATCTCAAAGTATCTGGTATCAGGCAACAATTACCTCCCAACCATGAACTCTTGAAAAGGTTTTTGCTTCTGTCTCATTTCCAAAGACAAAATCCGTGTACCTGAACCCGAAACCAGAATCTTCAAGCCAATGTGTATAGATTATCTTATACAGCAACATATTTTGTAAAAAATTCTTACGGCATAAATTTATCCTGCACATCCTTGAAGAACTCGCAGAGATACGGAGCAGAAAGGTTTGTTATGAAGACCTGCAGATATATATGTCAAATTGGTTTCATTCAAATTCAAAAGCTACCATATGCAGCATACAAGAGGAGATTTTCTGTCACGTGATATACCTTGTTATTCGCAGCTGCATGTTCAGCAACAAATTGTACGGACTCCAGGGATACAGGGAGAAAGAACCCGGCAATATAGAAGTACTTGGCCTTCTCAACTGCCAGAAAAGGTTTAAAAAAAATCAGTTTAAAGAATGTACAATCGCACAAAAGAAAGATGCAAACGAAGAATGGAGAAGTGAAAAGGGTACCTAGTGCCCAATTTTCTGGTTTTTTCAGATGGTCAGATTTGTAACAATTTGCAGCTGACAAATTTGCAACTAGTGACCTATACATCCACCAACACAGAATGTTGTTAATACAGTAGATGAATATTAAGATTGCCTTTCGTGACAGTACTCGTAGAAACACTAAAAGACTGCAATAGCAAATGATTTTTTTAATATATATATATAGGAACTGCAATAGCAAATGTTGAACAGTAAAATGAGAATCATGAAGGAACCTTGGTATCAAACTAACCTTTCGCCACCCACAATACAGACAGCACAAGTTCCAGTAGGTGCAGCCTCATCCTCATAATACTGAACCTGATTTTTAACATCAACAACAAATATGTCAATATAAATGCAGAAGTTTCATCAAGGAAAATAACAGGAAAATAATTAACTCTGAGACAAAAATAAAGAAACTTACATTAACCCCAGCAAAATTTGAGCTTTTCTTCATCTCCTCACCAAACTTGTCCTTTCCGATGCAGCCAATGAAGCTTGTTGCACCAGGAATTTGAAGCATCCACTGGAAGACATAAAAGGAAACTCACTCCACTTTAGTAATCAGATAAAATCTATCTGGCTTCCTCTAGTGCCATCAAAATAAATCCACAAAAATACCTGGGCAACTCTAATTGAATTTTGAGTAGCTCCTGCACATAATAAAATCACAAAGAACTCATCATAAACTGTTAGGTGCTAACTAAAGTACATAGCACACTTTTCTTTCAAACCAATTTCTTTAAATTTCAAACGCATTACCTCCGGCAATGAACTCCACAGTGTATTTCGAAGACATTTCATCATACCTGAGACAAAATCCATGTAAGATTGGCCCATATTTCAGTTAGCCCAGAAGATGTGTCACACCAACCATGTTATTGTCTAACAAGATAATACATTGAAATTGTCGAATATTAACAAGGTGAAAATACATGTTTTAGGAGATCAGTTGGGATAGTCAGAACTTCAGCTTCCTCAACCATTACCATAATAAGCCGATGGGAGCAGATTTTCAAAATAAATAAGCAAGAATGCATTTTAACACAAGGTATCAACATGTTTATTCAATAGTAAATAGCATATGTGGCAAACCATTCAAATTTTATTTTCCATATACCAGTTGAGGATATTTTCCTGCCTCTCTCCTCTTTCCAATGTTTTCAGCCTCAAAAAGTCACCATCAAACTTTCATATTGTTGTAGCAGTGTAAGCCTTAACAACTCTTGAAAGTTTATAAGACTATGTTAAGACAGCAAGACAATGACTAACCGCAAATGTCAGTTTGAGCTTGAAAACTTTATAAAAGACTTCAAATTCATGGCTTACCAAATTGAACTTGGGTTACGTCAAATAACACAATCATTTTCAATTTTCATGTAACATCATGGGTATGAAAACAAGAAGTAGTAATATTGTAACTTAATAAACATTTATGAATCAATATTAGTGCTATTCTACTCCATGCTATCTACAACAAATGTAAAGTGAAGGAAATCTTTTTACACATAAAAAAGCTGCAACAAATGCATATTTGATCAGCATAAAAACTTCAACAACCTAATTAGAACAAGAGACCAAAACAAGAGATCAAGCTGCTCTAAAGAAAAAAAGAAAAAGAATGCTTACATAGTTAAATGCTTCTCCTCAGCAAGAATTGCATCGTTCAACTTGATGTCGTATCTGTCACCCAAAAACAACCACTTTAAATTTCAAAGCGAAGCATCCTAACACATTCTGAAAGCCAATAAAACATCTACATATTCTCATTCAAAACATTAAGCTAAGCAGATACAAATAATCAGCAACAGAGAAAACACCAAATTTTTGCCATTACTGTACTGCAGTAGTCCAGATAATCAGAAGAAAAATGTGAATTGAAACAAGGGCAATGCTACAGTCTCAGTATTCTCACCACGCCTAATGACAATTTGATAAGTTGTGACATAATTTAGTAACATAACAAGCAAGATCATTAAATGTCACAATACTAATACACTATAAATATAAAAAGAAAGTCAAAAGTAATTCTTAGAACTGAGTAGAAATGAAGAAGTGAGATACTTATTCAAGAAGTCATCATCTACTACGGCAGAGATGTCCAACAGGGGATTGCCCATGCCCAAAAGAACACCAGAGTCAGCCATTGGTTGATGAAAGAGAGAGAGTGTCTAGTCAACGGTCTAAAGGAGCAAGATTTGAGTTTGAGCGAAGATGTAATTAAAAGGGGATGTGTTAGTGCTGTGTGTCTCAATCTCAGCGATTCAGTCGGCCATTCGTAGGCTGAGAAAATCTCAGCCGGCGGAAGTGTGGCACTGCTTCCTGTTTTGTTGCTTGCCGCTATTTGGGTAGGTAAGAAATTATGTTATTGGCTTATTGCTCATTTAACTAATTTCGCCGTGAAGTCTTTGTTAACTTTAACGAGAGAATTGTGGTTAATATCGTCGTCTTCTATGAAAAACTTTCTAATATTTTTGCATTATCTTATTATGCTTTTGATAACCATTATTGACGTGATATTATTAACTTATATGAGTTTCAGAATCAACTAACAGTCTATGGCATGAGATGAGATGCGTGGAGATAAAAGAGGATAGTTTTATGAGTCCATTTGTGAGAGAAAAACTTTATGCACCCTAAAGTTTCGATTGACTATCTTTAAATCCTACATTTTAAAATAATAGATTAATTCCCTTAAAATTTAACCAATGTTAAAAAAAATTAAAAATCAATTAATTAGAAAGGTTTCTCTGATTACAAACCAAAATATCCCAAATAAATGATATTGTCCTAATTTTAAAAGCCGAACCTTAGGATAAATACAATTAACTCATCCATTTGTTTGTTTTTAATTTTGGAAAAGAAATTAACAAGTTATTATACTCAAGGTAAGGATCTACAACAATATAATCAAAAGGGTGATGACGATTTGTGGCCAGGTTGATAGCATAGAAATAACATCATTTACTAAAATGATATTCCACTACTAAATTAAACATATAAGATGACGATTATATTGAAAGAAACATCGAATTGCAAATGCATGTCGGCTATATTTTTCGGCCGTCCTGATTTTAATAACTGAACCAACCCCACCAGCCTGTACGTCGGCAAAACATGTGCACAAGTTCACCTTCGCAATCAACTATAAAAAATTAAAAACTCAATCTTACACCAACCAAAACATGGAAAAGCTTGCCGACATTTATAATACAAGAGATGACAATGACATGCAATAAGGTAAACAAAGAAATTCATATTAACTGAAGATAAAAACATCTTTCATCTCGAGTACATCATGATGCTTTTATTTCGTTTATAATATTAATGATCAGAATACCAAAAAGAAAACACACAATACTGAGAGCCGAGCAATTTTCTCTGAACAATCTTTTAGTTAAAATTATTTGAAATTTCACATGACATCGCGCACATTATTTATGCTGTATTTACCTTCTCAAGGACGCTCATATTCCCCCAGGGTGAACAGTGACAACAGAGCAACTTTTAAATAGTCATCAAGGTGATGGGTCTTATTCCCCTTAAAGAAAAAAACTTTGGTTAAAGAAATGAACATCTGAGACATGGCTCAAAAAAATCAGAGCTGGCAATTCAACATGACCTCAATCCTATGTAGCAACATATCTTCAAAGATGATCACAAATAGCCTTTGTAAAATCGGTGGTTGTTGAAGAGCCACCAAGATCAGCAGTTCGGTACTTCCCCTCTGCGATTGTGTTGAGGATAGCATTCTGGATCCTATCAGCCTTATCATGGAGCTCTAAATGCCGCAACATTGTCACAGCACTCAGCAGCAAGGCAGTTGGATTTGCCAAATTCTGGGGCAAGTCAAAACACATAAAAAAATAAGTAGTAAATAAATAGTGACATAGGACATGAAAGTGTGCTTCATTACGACAACCAGTAGAAAATATAATGTGATCCAAAGGAACTTGGTGAGCACCAAGCTCACCCACTTTAAAGCAATTGAGAAGTTTACAGAGGAGAAACCATGAATACTAACACAACACATTCACCTCACTAATATCTCATATACATGTCTATTCACCTCACTATTATCTAGTATATATGCCTATCTTAATTTGGAAAAAACAATTATCAAGCATGATCACACATCAAAATAGCTGTCAACCTATGGAGAGAATATCCAGATCTATTCAGGCTTTCTTTATGTTTCTAAAAGGACACGATAGAAACCCACAACTTAAGGCCACCAGTACTTCTTCCGAAGCTTTCATGAGCCCCCTCCTTCCCATACTCAATTCTGAAGAACAATTCTATCTATAATAACTAAACAAACGCTATTATTATCTTATCATATACAATGATTGGAGCTTGTTTCGTCATTATAGCATAACATTAAATACCATACCAAATAAAGTTAGATGTTGCTTCGGCAAGTTAATTTTCTGATACATCAAGATAACTAAAGAATTACATTAATTAATAAAGGTTAAGAAAGAACTTTAGAGTGCTACACTAAATCATTATAATTTTATGCTAACACCCCAAGTGAGGCTGAGGCCATATGAAATAGCTTCAATAGATGTTTACACCTCCTTGTTTGACAACAGGCAGGAGAAAAAAGGAAACTCCAAAGCAATTAGAAAACCATTAGAAAACCAAGCAGACATGAATATGCATATGGCAAAGTTAAATAGCAAGTTGATAAGGATCAATGCAAGATAGAAATCATGATGCAGGTTTGAAGGCCAACCTTTCCAGCAATATCAGGTGCTGAACCATGAACAGCTTCAGCAAGGGCAATTCCTCCCTCTCCAATATTGCAACTGCACAGTAAATTAAATGCTGTTAGATGACCTAGACATATGTTACTGGAGAAGACAGAAGATCCCAGTTACCTTGGTGTTAGGCCCAATCCACCAATCAAACCAGCACATAAATCACTGATAATGTCACCATAATCCAACCCGTAGTGGTTATGTAGTTTATCACGACCTAAAAAGTGTTCGACATGTACCTTTGTTTCATCAGTCAACACCGGGGATTAAAACAAAGTAATGATAATTAGTCTTTTTCTTGTTTCAAGGTAGGTACGTCAAGAAATAATGAGGTAGTTAATATTTAGATTTTATAGAAGTGTATTGTTCTCATGTTGTAATAAGGAATTGTAATAATACCATCATGCAGCAATTGTCAATAACAACTTCCTCATATACTATCTCAGGGTACTTCTCTGCAACTTCACGACAACACTGCAAGTAAAAATTAAATCATATTTCATAAACAGATACATAGATTTGCGGTAGAGGAATCTATAATTAATGACTTAAAAATGCAAGACCTTAAGGAAGAGACCATCCGTTCTCTGCATAATATTAGCTTTGTGTATTGCAGACACTCTTTCTCTTCCATGGGCCTTAGCATAGTGAAAAGCATATTCAGCCACCCTCAAACTAGCCTGACGGGTAATAATTTTGAGACTCTCAACCACACCTCTTACCACCTATCATAAGAAATAAAAAACTCCTTTAGATTTATACTATATTCATTGTATGTTTGTTAGTGAGAAAATCTGTTCTTGCAGAAGCGAACTCACTTGATGTTCCAGACCACTGTACTCCCCTTCAGTATTTTCACGGATAGTGATAAGATTTACATCATCATACCGAGTTTTATAGCCAGGAAGGCTGTAGCAAGGCCTAACATTGGCATACAAATTAAGCTCTTTCCTCAAAGTAAGGTTCAAAGAACGATGACCTTTTCCGATTGGTGTTGCCATAGGCCCTTTCAAGCCTACCCCATTTCGCCGTACTGATTCTAAACTTTCCCATGTCAGAAAACTTTGAGTTCTGGGATCAACTTCAGTTCCGACATAGTGCTCCTCCCATTCAATTGGCACTTCAGCTGTTCTAAACACCTACATGAGTACAAATGACAACATTTGTCACAACTTTAAGTTGCATTCTGACAAAGAACTATTACTACAAATGCTTGAAGTTTGCCAGCTAGAGTCATCAGTAACATGATCCATTTTCTATTGACATAAAAAAGCTATGAGTGAATAGGAAAAGAGTATTCAAGATACTATGTCTACAAATGGCAAAGAGCAAAGCAGCAGAAAATTCTTCCCCAATAACAATCTACAAACTAGGACGCAAGGAAAGAAAAACAAAATTATATAAAGAAAAATTCAACACAAAAAAGAATACAACATATTCCCATCGACAAAACAAGGTCAAATCTTACCTTATACCTCCTAATTACAAAATGAGCATCAACAAAACCCTTAACTACAAAAAATAAAAATAAAAATAAAAATAAAATTAAAAAAACCCATATTATAATGAACAATTAATGCAATTTTTCAAAAAAGCATTCAATCTCACACTTTATTTTCACTTCTTTTCTCAACAATAAAGTAAATTCTCTCCATTCAACCATAATCCACACTTCCATTGTAATATTGAATATTTACCATGCATCTCTTTACCCTTCAACTTATGAAAAGCGTTCAAGCAGAAGAGCAAAAGAATATGACATAGAAAATGTGAATTTTATTTATCTCCATAAGCGACAACTTAATTACAGAAGGCCTTCCACAAAAGGGAAGTTCTGATAGATTTTATTGAACTTCAATTAACATCTCTGATGAATTTCATAAGAGGTTTATGACAATATTCAAGTAATGTCTTTGCTTATTTTTGCCAGAGATATGAAAAAGATTTTTCCTAACACAAAATACACAACGAATAATTAAGTTACAAGATGGACCATAGAAGTCATCCAATTGCGAAATTGCATTTAGTTCAGCCAAGAAAAAGTAAATAATCTTCAATATTTATCAAAAGGAGAAATTTAAAAGAACAAACACCAGCATAAAAAGAAGAGAAGCAAAGCAGTTTTGAAACGGAGTAGACCTGTTTAACGGACTCGGCTATTTCGGGGCCGATTCCGTCGCCGGGGAAGAGAGTGGCTCGGATCGGAGTAGTGTCGGCAGAAAAGTATCTAGCTATAGGTAAAATTGAGCTTGGGTTGGGGTTTGTAGCGGAGAGGATCTGGTTCGATTGGCTACCGAGGACCCGTCTCACGAGCTGAGTCGCCATTATTGATTACTCTGCTTTTGGTCCGTCGATGTAATATGAAAAAGAATAATAAAAGTAAAACGCAAATAAAAGAGAGAAAATTAATTTCTTTTTAATTTTTATTTATTTATTTATTTTGTATAAAAGGAATTCAATACCTGTTCAAAAGTCCAAAGGTCTTGGTCCGAAAACCGTGAGGCTACACTTTTATTTATTTATTTTAATTTTGTATTTTGCTAAAGGAAAATAAGAATTTTGAATTTTTTTACTTTATGTTTAGAACACGAAAAAATTATTCCAATTGAATAAATATGGAATTGGTAAATATATGGGTCATATATTTACATGACCTAATAAGAATTATGAGAGATTTTTTTATAGAAGTTACTCTTTGTTATGCCCAATCAGAATTCAGGGAGGTTTTGTGCCGTCAAGACGTTGCCATGTTGCACAATGACGAAAGAGGTATAGTTCTCATCAGTGCAGCAGGTGAATGTCAGGCTTGCGAGTGGTTAGGAATCGTCCACCTGCCCAAGCCCTACGCAATTTAAAGATGTCTTTCGTGCAGACAACCAATGGGAAGCGGGTTAGGAATTGTACCACACCTGTCAGACTGCAGACTCATGATTATTATCTTAAATCCTCGCACTATAAATAGAGGGCTCCTCTTTCATTTACGGGATTGACTTATCTTTAGTCTTTAACAACACACACACACACACACACACACACTCTCTCTCTCTCTCTCTCTCTCTCTCTATATATATATAGTCTCTCTAGATTGTAACTTAGCTCGCTACATGCGACCTGACTGTAACTGTCTATTAATACAACTACAGTGGATGTATGATTCGCTTTTGAGCATCCAAACCACTTTAAAAACCGTCTTTTATTTATTCTCTTGCTACATATTTCCATATCACGTGTAATTTCTAAGTCTGTTTAGCACTTTGCACATGTGAGTCGTTGGTGTCAAAATCAAGCATCAATAGTTTGGCGCTAGAAGGAGGGCTTGATTTAGTATTTGCTCTTCATCAAAAACCTCTGACCAATCGGTCATACCTATCAGCAAATAGCTCGCAGTTTCGAAACTGTGCGAATCGACCTTGACAATGAGGAAATCCCCCAGGTACAGGATGACACTTCTCCTGAAGTGTCGCCAGTCCAACAGAGTATCATGGTGGATATTCCTTCAAGCTCACAGCTCGACCCAACCGTGATGAGTTACCTAGAGAGGTTCAATAATACTCTTCAAACGGTTAGCCAAAGGCTGGACCGTTTGGATCTGGTCGTACCACTAGAGTCCAATGAAGCGGTGCCACCACCAAAGACGCCTGCAAGTTGCGCGAAAGCGCGGAAAAGGGCAAAAGCCTGTACCGCGAGCATTGTAGTGCGTAAAAGTAAGGGAAAACAAGTGGCGAGCAGTGGACCGAAGGGCTCCGAGGGACTAGCGAACACTGATCGTGCAACGGGTAGAATGCCCGTGGCATTGCGACTTAGCAACGTGTCACATCATGAGCCGTCCCACGCCACGTCGCATGGGCACTCCCACAAAATTGCAAGGCAAGGAGATTCCCAATATCGTCGAAATGATGACCTCGATTGTCATCATGCGGGAAACCCCATCAAGTAGGGACACTTCAAAGAGTGCAAGGAGATTCCCACGCCACGTCGAAATGAACATACTCTTTGAAGTGTCCCTACTTGATGCGGGAGACCTCATCAAGTAGGGACACTTCAAAGAGTATGTTGATGGTCTGACTCTCGTTTAGGAAAAGATCAAGAGGAACAAGGGAAGAAGCGCCATGGTCGCAAGGGTCTCTACTGTGTAGGGATCATCTTTGGAGGACCGCACTTTGCGGGGAATTCTTGAGGTGCCCAATAAAGGTATGCTTGGGAAGCTTGGCATGACACCGTGAGTGTAATGAGCACAGCGCCATGACCTGCTAAGGTTCGTAGGGAAGAGGAGATCACATTCTCTGAGAAAGACGCGGTGCAACTGCATCATCCCCATGAGGATGCACTTGTCATCGCGCCTGAAATAAGTCGGTGCGAAGTCCACATAATGTTGGTGGACAATGGAAGCGTTGTGAATATCTTGTTTCAGCGAGCTTTCAAAAAAATACAATTGGACGAGGCAAACCTGAAGCCTGCCTCCATCTCTCTCTATGGTTTTACTGGGGATCATCTGATTCTTAGGAGAATGATCTCACTCTCAGTCACGTTAGGTGAAACCAACGAAATGACCAAAATGATGGAGTTTTGGTGGTAGACTGTCCGTCCACCTTCAATGGCATTCTAGGACGACCTCTACTATGAAATTTCAAGGCAGTCACCTCCATCTACCATCTGAAAATAAAGTTCTCCACTCCGATGGGGATTGGGGAAGTAAAATGATCTCAACGCGAATCTCACGACTGCTACATAAGAGTAGTGCATATGGTGTGCAAGGGAAAAGGAAGGCCAATAGGCATCCCCGAGCAGGCTATGGCGATCAGCAGAATCGAGCCACAGCCTGGCCCAGTAGAGGACAACATGGATCCTCGCATCCAAGAGTGCCCTCACAGTGGGTCAGTTGAGGACCTATCTAAGGTGTTAGTCGATCAAAATGAGCTGACCCGAGTGTTAACAATAGGGAGTAATCTTAACCCCTAGCTCACCAAAATCCTAGCAAGCTTCCTTAGAGAGAATGTCGATGTTTTTGCATGGACTCATGCACTTAACATTGACAGTGCAGTCAATCCGATTTGCCAGAAGAGAAGAGCCATAGACCTTGAGCGCTATGGTACCTTGAAAACTAAGGTAGATAAGCTCCTTTTGAATGGGTCCATTAGAGAAGCGTTTTACCTGAGCTGGGTTGCCAATCTGGTCTTGGTAAAGAAGCCCAATGGCAAGTGGTGAACCTATGTCGACTTCACCGACCTCAACAAAGCCTGTCTGAAGGACAGTTTTTCCTTGCCAAGGATCAACTAGCTCGTCAATGCCACCTCCGGGCACGAGCTGTTGAGTTTTATAGACGCCTAATTGGGATATAATCAGATCCCGATATACGCACCGGACGAAGAGCATATCTCGTTCGTTACAGATCGGAGACTGTATTGTTATAAGGTCATGCTCTTCGGCCTAAAAAATACTGGGGCAACTTACCAGCGGCTAGTTAACTATATGTTTTCCGAGCATATCGGAAAGTCGATGGAAGTTTATGTTGATGACATACTGGTCAAGTCGCATGTCGCTTCAGATCACATAGCGCATCTCGCTTCAGATCACATAGCGTATCTCGCTGAGATGTTCGATGTACTCCGAAGGTACAAGATGAAGCTTAATCCTCTTAAATGCTCATTCGGAGTATCCTCAGGAAAGATTCTAGGGTATATGGTTAACCAAAGGGGAATCGAAATCAACCTCGAGAAGATCTAGACACTTCTTGATATGAAAAGCTCGACCAACCAAAAACAAGTTCAAAGCCTAAATAGGAGAATAGTGGCCTCAATCGCTTCATGTCGAGAGCAACTGATTGTTGCTTGCCCTTTTTTAATATACTCAGGGCCAACAAGAAGTTCGAGTGGACTCCAAAGTGCGAGCAGACTTTTCGGAGTATAAAAGAACACCTCTGAAAGCCATCTCTCATGTCTAAGCCTCTTCCCAAGGAAATTCTACTCTTATACCTGTTCGTCTCTCAACATGTGATTAGCACAGCTCTCATTTGGGAAGAGGGCAGAGTTCAATGGCCAGTATATTACACGAGCAAGCAACTGCTGGACGTTGAGATACGGTATCCAGAAATGGAGCGATTAGCTTATGCCCTGCTGATCGCCTCCAGGAAGCTACGACCCTATTTCCATGCCCACATAATCCACGTTCTGACCAACTACCTGCTTAGGCAAGTTCTTCAGAAGCCGGAAGCTTGGGGTAAGTTATTCAAATGGGAAATGGAACTGAGTCAGTTCAATCCGCATTATAGACCGAAAGTTACCATCAAAGGGCAACTATTGTCAATTTCATTTTGGAATTCTTATACCAGCTGAATTAGGAATTTGAGCAGCAAGCCAGCGAAGTCATCCAGGAATCTGTTCAGAACTTATCGACTTGAAGCCTCTATGTTGATGGTTCCTCAAACAGGAAAAGAGTCGGGTCAGGTCTTCTCCTCCTCAGTCCCGAGGGGAGTCGCATCCATGGAATTTTCGATTTAGGTTCTAAGCTACGAACAACGAGGCCGAATATGAAGCGCTACTCACTGGTCCACGATTAACGAGAGAAATGGGATCAAGTGCAATCAGTATTCACAGCGATTCCCAGCTGGTTGTTAATCAAATTTTGGGAGAATATCAAGCCAAGGAAGAGAACACGATCAGTTATCTGAAGAAAGCTAAGGACGCACTCGAGCCTTTCAAGAACTTCACGATCAAGAAAATCCCGACAGACAGTAACTCTATCGCGGATGCCATGGCAAGAATAGCCTCGTCACTAGACTCAGATGTGCCAGAAAGTATTCCAGCTCAGTACATAGAGACTCTTAGTATCAGCTCACCCGAGCAGACCGTAGCTACAACAAAGTCAATTTCTTAGATGACTCTAATCATTCAGTATCTCTGAGATGGGACTCTGCCCAGTGACAAGACTGAGGCAAAAATCCTACGCACCAGAGCTGGTCGTTACACTCTCATTGGAGATCAGTTATACAAGCGAGGGTTTAGCGCCCCTCTCCTCCGATGTGTAACCGGCGAAGAAGCAAACTATATTGTGAAGGAGATACATGAAGGGATCTGCGGTAATCACACTGCTGCACAATCCCTCGCCAATAAAATTGTCTGCCAAGGGTACTATTAGCCTATACTTCAAGAAGACACTTTCAATTTTGTGAAAAAAAGTGACAAGTGCCAGCGGTTCGCGAACATCACGCGAGCTCCTTCCCACCAGCTGACGACAATGAACAACCCTTGGCCATTCTCCATGTGGGGAATTGACCTTATTGGGCCCATGCCAGCCAAAAAGGGGGGTGTCAAGTATGTTTTGGTTGCGGTAGATTACTCCACCAAATGGGTTGAAGCTGAGCCCTTGGCCACGATCACTA